CATATAAATCCCCAAAAGTGCAGACATCAAACCTGCGGACAATCTGTGTTCTGTGATGATTCTCACAGCCAACTGAACTCTATTTCATATGTGAAGAGATAAGATGCAGAAGACTTTTATAAATTCTTTAGGTAGATGATTATTCTTGAATGTGGAAAGATATATAAATTTTTACTGCCAGCTTTCAAGCCATATTCTCCCCTGCGGGGAAGGCAGTGATGGTGTCTTCTGAAGGGGAGCAGAGGAAAATATTAACGCTGCTTGTCAAGGGGCTGGAGAGACAGCTTTACGTTGATAATTCTGAGGTAAAAGCTGGGTCCTTTTCTTATTCAAAAAAGCAGAAATCCTGTTACTGTGCTTTACTACCACAGTGTAAGGAAAAACCAAAACTCTGGAGCAAGCCGTCCCTGAATTCAAATCCTGCCTCGACCATTTACTGGTTGTATAGCTTTGGGTCAAGCCACTTACTGCCTCAGGGCCTTAGCTACTTCTAGGCAAAATGGATTTTTTCAGGAAAGGTGAAAGGTAAAAACAGTAATTTAATACTATATGTTACATAAATATTCTATCAAAACTATCGGTGGTTCATAGTTGGTACTCATAAATTTTGCCTCCTTTTGCCACCTCAGGTTCGTGTTTACAAGGCAAAACATAAAACATCCTCTTTTTTCCTCATCTCATTTACACATGAAAACATATCGACAACTTTTGAGTTTCTGAGTGCAGCAGGGAATCTGGGGTCAAAAGATGAAGATACGGTCACCGTCCTCTTACTCATCTACTTTGATTTTGGAAGACTGGAAGAATCTTTGGATTCCAAAGATTCCGAATCTTTGGAATTTGGAAGAATCAGATTGTTGAAAGGGATTTTATACCATCCTTCAAATCTCAACTCCAGAGGCTTTTCCACCTCCAAAATGAAATCATTTGGAGAATAAATACGTAATATCTAAAAATGACGCCGAGCCACTTTTAAATAAATAAATAACACAATGCATTTCATTGCTAAGGGAAACAGATCCTGCAGCTTCACAATGGTAGTGAATTAGAACATGTCAAGGCGCCCTAAGCAATTAGTCTTCTCTATGACCCAGATAGACTCTTCGCATTTTAGAATCATTAGACCTTTCAGACCGCTCAGCTGCTCACAACCGGGGACAGTCCTGCCCACCTCCCCCCTACTCCTGTCTCCAGGCAGGTGGAGAAGTATGGGTGGGTAGGGCGGGAACTTTTTCTGGCAGCTTTATTGAGGTGTCATGGACATACGATAAAAGTATAGTCTGTTAATTTTCACACGTGTCTATATCCATAAAACCGTCGCCATGGAAAGATATTGAATTTGCTCATCACTTTGTGGGAGCATTCTGATTGCAAGAGTAACAAGGGGTTATTACTGGCATGGCCTGGGGGTGACTAATATCCTGAAATGTGCAGTCTTGCACAAAGAACGGTCTTATCCATAATAGCCAGTAGCAACTCCGCTGAGAAATGCTGGCCCAATCCCTTTGCTAAACTAATGAAGACACAGTCCAGATAAGGAAACTGAGGCAAGACTCAAGACAGTGTCTTCTGTGCTCATGTAAATACATCCAGAGTACATACGTTAAACAAACAATATAGTATTTGCTAGAAGAAATTCTTGACTGAATCAAATGCTTCATGTCATATTGACATTGAAAAGCGATACATACTTTAAAATGATACATTTCAATCAGAGAGGGAGACAAACCCCAAGAGACTCTTAACTCTAGGGAACAAACTGAGGGTCGCTGGAGGGGAGGTGGGTGTGGGGATGGGGTAACTGGGTGATGGGCATTAAGGAGGGCACGTGATGGAATGAGCACTGGTCTTATATGCAACTGATGAATCACTGACCTCTACCTCTGAAACTAGTAATACACTACATGTTAATTAAGTGAATTTAAATAAGATATAAAAAATGATATATTTAAAATGTGACAGTGAGTTCTTCTAAAGAGGGTCAGCTAGCTAGGTCTTCCTCCCCCCAGCGACTTGTCTGCCAGGCAGGGGCTGGTGCTGCTATCCTGGCATAGAGAGTGAAGGTCAGGGCGCCTGGGTGGCTCAGTTGGTTAAGCGACTGCCTTC